TGATAAACCTTTTGTATAGAGCATAAAGGCAAGGGAGACGTGCACGTTCCCATTCCTGCTTGAATTTGGAGATTTTACTGAGCTCTCTACCTTTCTAAGAAGAGACTCTTGTCTGCACCTTGCCCCTGCTGCTGCAAATGCACCAGTAACATTTTCCTAACAGTGAGACACTCTACTGGCTTTGGGATTCTAATTTAGTTTTTTTTTCTAGCCGATGAGAACATATTTGTGAGATTATGAAGGGAGGAAAATAAGCCAGACCTGAGATACATTGTGCGTTAATTGGTTTCAATTTCTTCATAGATTTTAAATTTCAATTCCAACTAATTTTTTCCCAAGCAATCTAATTCTTAGTGTTAAATTTTATGTTAATGGTTCTCACCAAGGTTGTGTCCACGGTGGATCATCTATTCATGAAATCATGATTACAACCCTGAATTTCTTGTGAAGAAGAATCCTCGTTCTCTACTGATAGAGACATGGGCAGGACCTCCAGAAACTCCTTTCACTGGGATTCCTAATGTTGTAATGAGGCTGGATTTGGAAGACAGTAAGTGAATGTGGAGGATGGGATACGTGATTCTGAAGATAAAGAATCTTAAAAACGGAAGAGCAATGATTGCTTTCCCTGGGTTCTTATAGGTTTCCTCAGTCTCCTATTCCTAAAAGAAGTGCCAGATTAAACAGGGTTTCAGTGATCCTGCTGTGTAGTATCATGTGCTGTTTTAGAGAAATTAATGCACAAGTTGGTGTAAAACTTGGGGAAAAGGAGTATGGTGAGAAACAGTTGACAGAAAGCATGATTTTCTTACCTAAGATTCCTGACTTGGGCCAGATTTCCAGTCACCTGAGCACGATCTTCTTCTCCACATGTGCCTGGGGGAAAAGCATGCTTTTAAAAATCAAAGCAGGGAGGCTCTGGTGTCCAGCATTCTGATGCTGTAATCTCTGCATCAGCGGGAACCTCTGTCACCCGACCACGCACACTGATCTCTGCCTCACAGTCATCAGTCTCTTAGGCTTTGGCTCAGGTAAAAACAGCTGAAGAAATATGTGGTGATTACTCGTTACATGACAGGAATTTTCTTATCTTCTGTGAATAAATATGATTCAGGTGTAATCCTTGTCATTGAACATCTTGCATTCACAGAGGAATACAAATAATTGAATTTAATCTCTTAGTGCTAAGATAGAGGCAAGGGCCTGGGTGGTGTAAGTGCACATGTCTATCTATTACAGACCATCCATTTGTAAATGTGTTTGTGTGTCTGTGTCTACGTGTGTTGGGAACGGAAGTGAGGAATGAAGCAAATGTGTGGATCACTAAGGAAATTGTTCTCAGTGAGTATTTTTCCTAACTTTGAAAACCTTTGAGATATTTGAAAACCGATGCTTACGAGCGGAATGAAGAAGAGATAGGAATACTATCCATGTTCTATAGGTGTCCTTTAATTACTTTACTCCCTGGTCATAGGCATTACTTTGACCTTTGAGACAAATGTTTGGTTTTATGCTATTAACGGTTATGAAAATGAGAAACATTGTGAGGCTACCAGTAATTCCCCCTTGATTTCTGGATGTGTGATTGATGCAAATTTCTAGTCTGGGAAGGGTAAAAACTTTGGTGGAAAGAAGAGCAAGACTAAAATTGAGCTGAAACAGAACATGGAAACTCTAAGATTCAATCATATAGCACCTTACATTAAATTGATAAGAATTCAGGAAGTCCTCATTTAAAATTGCTGGTGTCAACAAAATATATTGTTTCATCGTCTATTTTGACAGTAATTTCCCTTTAGAAACAACTCTGTGTTCCACGGATTTAAGTAATTGTTAGATCATACAGACTCATTTATCAAATTAATGTGGGCTTCAAATCTGATGCTCTAGTACCCACATTAGGGTCGGAGGCTAGACCATGACCATGGCTTGCATTCCATTGTCTAGGGTTCTTTGGCTCCAAGGACTGACTCTTCATTGTGAATCTCCAGCAGGTTTCCAAATGGGTTTTAAAAATGGATTGTACCAAGTGGCACGTAGTATTTGCTCAACAAAAATGGTTGATGGAGTATTCCCAGTGCTGTGAGTACCCAAGGAGAATAACACTCTATGTAATAGGTGTGTCTCGAAATAGATCGCCTATGTCAAGTAAGAAGCAGTGAGGTACAAACAGCAGTGTGTCCCATTAACTTGAGAGGAATAAGATAGCTGGAAAGACAGTCTGAGGTCAAATAAAGGATCCATTCCATCTGTAGTCAGCATGATGCCTTAAAAGGGTACCTGGCAGAGATGCTGTTTTTATTCAGGTATTTTTTTTGTTCATTTATTGAACGTTTCTTTTTTTACAAGGTAGAAATGTCTTAATGGTTTTAGGAACTGTTTTAGTTATTGGCAGTATCTCTCAAAAATAAAGGTATGCTTAACCTTATATATAAACCTTGGATAAAGTCTGTACTTAGCAATCTAACCATTTGAATTTATTCTATACATATTATTGGCACAGGGGAACATCAGTGTAGGTATAAGAACGTTCATAAAACAGCTGTTTGTGGTAGTACACATTGAATCCAATCATAATGTACAGGAGTAGTTAACTGGATTTTGTTTATGTATGGTATGCAATGCCACATAACTAATATCAAGACTTAGGTAGAGCTATATGTACTGACTAGGGAAGGTTTTCAAGTTTTCTTGATTATTTGTTGAAAAAACACCCAGGTCACTAAGATATATGTAAACTTTATAAGTCCATCTACCCCCCCCCCCACCCCACATATGCACTTAAATGACTAAATAACACTCGGAAATATGGAAACCAAGTTATGATCTGTGGGAGGGTATGAGCTTGAGGGTATGTGAAGGGAAACTTTAACTGTATCACATATATTTTTATGTTACTTGAACTTAAAAAAAGACATCTAAATATCTGTCTCATTTTTGCACATAGTTATTTTACTAGTTTTAACAACTTTATTTAATTAGAATTCACAGACCATATAATTCATCCACTTAAATATTTTAATTCAATGGCTTTTAGTGTATTTACAAAGTTGTGCAATCCTCATCACCACGATACATTTTAGAACATTAAAAAAGAAATCCTATACTTAGCTGTCACCTCTATCCTTTGAGACCTAGCCAACACTGATGTACTTTATGCTACTATACATTTTCTTATTTTGGGCATTTCGTAAAAATGGAATCGTAATTATGTTTTATCTTGTATCAGTACATCATTTATTTTTATGGCTGAGTAATATTCCATTCAATCACATTTTACTGATATATTCATCAGGGTGCACATTTGGGGTGTTTCTACTTTCTGGCTTTTATGAATAATGCTGCTATGAATATTTGTGTACAAGCTTTGTGTGTGTAGAAATATGTTTTCCAGTCTCTTGGTAACACCTTGCAGTGCACTTGCTGGGCCACTCTATGTTTAACTTTCTGAGGAATTGTCAGATAGTACTCTCAAAATGTCTGAGAATTTAAAATTTTATACATCATCACCAAAGCTTGCCATCACCTGTCTTTCAGAATACAGCCATCCTAGTGAGTGAAGTATCTCTTTGCAGTTTTGATTTGCATTAAAACTCGATGGGCCAGGTGTACTCTGTCCTAAAGGGTCATGATGAGTCAGCTTAGATGGCAACGGCTTTGGTTTAGTTTGGTTTAATGACATGGAATATCTTTTTATGTGCCTATTGACCATTTGCTTATCTTCCTCAGAAAATACCCAATTCTAAATTGGCTCATTTGTTTGTTCTAAGAGTTCTTCATGCCTTCTAGATACTGATCTTTTATTAGATCCATAACTTGAGAAATTTCTCCCAGTCTGTGCTTATTTTGTTTTTGTTTTGCTTTCTAAATGGTATGCATTGAGGTAGAAGAGGTTTTAATTTTGACACTGTCCAACATTTGTTTTATTGTGAAAAATATATGTGCCCATTTACTTGAAATATGAATGATTAAACATTTAAAATTCAAATAGTCTATTTTATTCAATGCAGGGGATACAAGAAAATAAAATAGAAATGTGGAAGAAAGATGAGGAATATAAAGTCCCTTTTGGATATTTTGAAAGAGTTTCTTACTATGAAAAATATTTAGAAGTTTATGACACTGGAAATTGAATCAACACTCACCTGCTTAAGTTGATGTGAAGATAATCAATGCTACTGTCCCCTTAACTTGATGCGAGGATAATGCTAGTGTATCCGTTTATGATTGTGTAATTTCATAAGAGAATGTTTTTTATTTTACAAGATTCTCTGATGAAAACAAAGCAGAACCACAGTTTGCAAGGGATTTAATCTCTGGAAGTAGTGGAAGATGGTAGACTGGAAGTGGAGGCATAGAGCTGGGTTTGGATTGAGTAAGAACCTAGCCGAGTGGTGGTTTAAATGAAAATTCTATTTTGTTGCTGCATTTCTTGGTTAGAAGCTCATTTGCAATCGAAATGAGCAGAGAGCTGGAGCTGAAGATAGAGTTGCCAAAGGGATTACCGTGTATACTTGTGTATAAGCTGAGTTTTTCAGCACATTTTTAATGGAGTTTTTGTGGGAAAATTAGGTGCCTTTGCTGATATTTGGGTAGGCTTATACTCGAGTATATACGGTATAGTGTAGGAGTTTGTGATATGGTTTTTCTTTTGAATCAACATCAACAGTCATCCCCTTAGCCTTATGTAAGAATGATCTACACCTCCTCACCCCAGATAAATACAGTCTATTGCTATGTTTCCAGAAAGGAGAAATGTAAAATAAAGAAATGGATGCATTTGCTGTACTCTTCTCTTCGCAGATTACACCAATGCATCAACTTATAAAGAACTAACTTTCGCAACACTGAAAATATTCCAATGAAAGGAACATAAATGGGATTCTGGAAATGCTTGACAGTGGTTAGGGGAAGATCCTAAACCTTCTAACTCTGAATTACATATTTTGTTGGTCATTTACATCATTGAGTGGCATGCAGTGGGAAAAAAAACACCAGCTATGAGACAGATCAACGAGACACAGGTGACAGAATTCATCCTCCAGGGACTCTCTGATGACCCCCACACCCAGAAACTGCTCTTTGTCTTATTTCTGTTTGTCTACCTGGTCACTGTGCTTGGAAATCTGCTTCTCATGTCCCTTGTTTGGCTCGACTCCCGTCTTCACACGCCCATGTATTTTTTTCTCTGCAACTTGTCTCTGGCAGACCTCTGTTTCTCCACCATCACTGTCCCTCAGGCCCTCGTTCACCTGCTGTCCAGGAAGAAGACCATTTCATTCCAACGTTGTGCAGCTCAGCTTCTACTCTTCCTCATTTTGGGTGGGACACAATGTGCCCTTCTGGCAGTGATGTCCTACGATCGATACGTGGCCATCTGCAATCCTTTGCATTACTCCAACATCATGACCTGGAGGGTGTGTGTCCAGCTAGCCACAGGGTCATGGACCAGCGGCCTTCTTGTGTCTATTGTGGACACCACCTTCACACTGCGGTTACCCTACCGAGGCAGCAACACCATTGCTCATTTCTTTTGTGAGGCCCCTGCCCTGTTGGTCCTCGCCTCCACCGACACCCACACTTCAGAGATGGCCATTTTTCTGATGGGGGTCGTGATTCTCCTCATACCTGTTTCCTTAATTTTGGTCTCCTATGGCAACATTATAGTGACTGTGATTAGGATGAGGTCAGCTGCTGGGAGGCTGAAGGCTTTCTCTACCTGTGGCTCCCACCTCATGGTTGTCATCCTGTTTTATGGGTCAGCAATTATCACGTACATGACCCCAAAGTCTTCCAAAGAGCAGGGAAAACTAGTGTCTGTGTTCTATTTAGTGGTAACTCCAATGCTTAACCCCCTCATCTACAGCCTGAGGAACAAGGATGTGAAGGGGGCTCTGAGAAAAGTAGCCACAAGGAATTTCCTGTGCAAACTTGGGTTCAACCTCTGAGAGTGAATGAAGAGATCCTGCTGCTGCCTATTTGTCTAAGGCTTGATGAGTGAGCAGTTGTCTTCCTTTTGAGTCTGTGGTGAAATTCTCATTTTTGCATCTAGTCCTGCATCCACCCTCCATTTTTCATTCCAGACTTCCATTGTATGGGAGGACAATGACTTGTGGAGCAAGAAGAAGGGATGTTTGCTTTGCTCCTGCTTGGCTTTTGGCATCAAAGGATTAGAACATCTCTATCTGGACAAGACTCATAGTCTATCAACCCTGGAAACCAGATAATCGACCTTTTCACTTTTGTTGTATAGTTTCATGTATCTAATTCCGTTCCCCCTCCAGCCCCTCTGTTGCCTGGAGTTTCTGGAACTCTGCATCATCAAGGCTCCCAAAGGAACACGCATTGTTGGGTTAGGTGCTGTTGGGTTGATTCGGACGCACAGCGACCCACTGGGACAGAGCAGAAGGGCTCATGGGGTTTCAAAGGCTGCACTCTTTAAGGAAGTGGATAGCCAGGGTGAGGGGTGGTGTTTCCTGTGAAGGTTCTGAATGGCTTTGAACCACCATCCTTTTGGTTAGCAGCTGAATCCTTGACTTGTGCCACCAGTGCCCCATTAACCAGCAATCACTTACTGTGGACTAGATAGGATTTGTGTGTATGTGTGTGCTTGATGTGGGTACCGTAGAACCTGATTATAATGAAGTAGACTTTGCCTGTCTCTTGCCGATCGTACTTGCTACGTGCTGTTGTCGCCGAGCTTTTCTTCCTCAGAATGAACTAAGAAGTTCCTCCCGAGTGGCCAGTCGCAATAACAGAGATAGTCAGACACATACAAGGCTGAGCGGTAGTTTATTCAGCAGAGATACGCTTCAAGAGTGCGAAGCAGGTCCCCCCACAATTTGAAGAAGACCTTGTCTGAGGACAAGGACCGATTTTATGGAGGACTGCTTACAGAGTTCCACTGGCTAGTTTACGTCGCTGACGTATTACTAGGAGCCTTGGTGGCGCAGTGGTTCGAGCACTTAGCTGCTAATCACAACATTGGTTATTGGGGCACAGCAGCCACTCTCTCCGAGCAAGAGGCGGCAGTCTTTGTATTCTGAGAAAACGCGCGAGCTTGCAAATCTCTGAGGGCCATTCTACTCTGGCATGCAGGGCTGCTGTGAGTTCGAAGGGACTGGAGGAGAGGGGGTGGTATTTATCAATCCTCGGGTCCTTTTTCTTTTCTTGCTGATTTATTTTTTTCTCACAAATGGTTCATGAGGAAATGGGAGCGTTATATATAATCCAGAAGACAGGGGGAGAAAGAGAAGCAGACAACGCTGGACACATTTTAGAAGTAAAGGTCTAAAAAGAAGCCTTTTATGTCTGATCACCTCCATTTTTCAAATGAAGTAGAATTTGTTGTTGTTGTTTGGAAGTGGGAAAGGAGTGGCACAGGTGAGAATGACAGACGTTTGGGACTTTACCTGACAAGAACAGGAGATGACCTAGTATATTTGTTTTCTGTTGTAAAAATTACCACAAACCTTCGCACTTCCCCCAACATAGATTTATTATCTTAGCGTTCTAGATATCAGAAATCCACAATCACTTCACTTGCTACAATCAAGGTCTCGACAGACCTGCACGCCATCTGGAGGCTCTAGATCTGTGGTTCTCAACCTTCCTAATGCCATGACCCTTTCATACAGCTCCTCATGTTGTGGGGACCCCCACCCATAACATTATTTTCATTGCTACTTCATAACTGTAAGTTTGCTACTGTTATGAATCGGGCGACCCCAGTGGAAGGGCTATTCAGCCGCCAAAGGGGTCGCGAACCATAGGTAGGGAACTGCTGCTCTAGAGGGAATTATTCATTATTTTGTTTTTCCAACTTCTAAGTTCATGGTTTAACGTCCATCTTCCAAGTCAGTAATGTTGCCCCTTCTCTTTTCCTGTCTTATCTCTGCTTCCATCTTTACACTTTTTCTCTGTCATTAGACTTCTTGGACCTTCTTTTTATAAGGGCCTGTGTGAAAGTGCTGGCAGAAGGTCCTTATCTGAAGCACACCTGCAAAGTACTTTCCCTTGCCAAGCAGCATACTCCTAGGTCGTGGAGCTCAGCAGTGGAGCCGAGGAGCTGTGGAGCTCAGAGGTCTTTGGTGGTGGGTACTCTTCAGCCTACACACCCATGCTCAGTAAACTCAAAGTGGAGGAACGATTCAAGCTGTCTAAATTTTATAATGGTGCCAATCTACTTAATTGTATGACTGTCATTATGCAAACAGAACCCTACGAGTTGGTTACCTTTTCATTGATCAATTCCTATGGTGACTACTTTTAGAGGGGATTGTCATCTGGGACCTTTACTACTTCAGAGGAAAGGGGCACTTTGTGAAGGAGATTAAACTTGTTCTGACAGGTTCATGCCAAACTCTGGGAAAAGTCCTAAAAAGAGACTATTGTGTTGGTTTTTTGATGTGCAACCTTGAAAAAGAAGAGGTTTCATTTAATCAAAATGGAATTACAGAAAAAAATATAGACAATAAAGAATGCTGGGATTATTTACAGCAGCTTCTCATAATCTGCCCACTTATGAGAATGGGATGTTCTGTAGACTATTTCTGTCAAGGAACTCTTATATCCCAAGTAAATAGTTTGAGATGAAGGCAATCATCAGCATAGAGTTTTCTTTCTCCATATAAGGCACAAACTAATATGGTAGCAAACAAAGAAGCCATCAGTTGCTGGCCCTTTAATCATGTGGTACTTGATGAATCACTGGAGTTTTTAAATGTCTTTTATGATCTCTCTTTCTTACTGGAATATAAACAGCATAAGGCATGGAATTTGCTTTTTTCACTAATGTATTCAGGGCCCAGGACAGTGCCAGACACATGCTGGTTGCTGAATAAATTATTTGTTGAAAATAAAAGATATAATGAATGAAAATAAAATACTAAAAAATCATTACTTTAATTACCTTGTGTACAAAGAGATACCGGAAATTTGCTGTTAGAATATTTGGACAAACAGAGCCATACAAAGCATATTAAAAAATAAATGGTGTGGAGAAGTTCAAGAGAGTTTAAAATGAATTTCAAACGGCAGGTGATAGGTAAGGTATGTATCGCCCTTCAGATATCTTCCCAATCAGTGAAAACTAACAGCATCCTTGGATTTTCTGTTCTTACAATCCCAAAGAATATTGGCCCACTATTATTCTTTCTTGGTTCACTTTTGTCCTTTAATTCAGAAACAAATTCCAACAGAAAGTCTCAAACTCAGCATGTATACTGTGGCTCTTGGGAAGTGTACAGATCAAAAATCCATTTTGGAATTCCGTTTCCTTTCCTTTTGTCCTTGCATTCTGCTGCTTCCATTTCAACCTAAGTTGGTCTTAGTTTCTGAAAGCCCAGAGTCCTGTGAATGACCCGTTTCAATGCAGCCTTGACTTCACTGTTCCTTAAGCTGTAGATGATGGGGTTCAACATGGGAGTCACCACAGTGTAGGAGAGCGAGAGCATTTTCTTGCTCTCGGGAGAGGCGCTTGACCGTGGACGGAAGTACGTGAGGATGGCAGTGCTGTAGAAGAGGGAGACAACCAAGAGGTGGGAGGAACATGTGGAGAAGGCTTTGCGTTTCCCCTCCGCTGAGGGCATCCTGAATATCGTAGAGAGGATACGGACATAGGACCCCAGGATCAGTAAGAAAGGGAAGAGGATAAATAAGACAGTAGCTGTCAGAGCCTCCAGTTCAAACAGAGAGGTATCAGCACAGACCAAGGCAATGACAGGGGGGCTATCACAGAAGAAGTGGTTCACCCTGTTGGGGCCACAAAATGGGAAGCTGAAAATCCATGTCGTCTGTACAGTGGCCACTGGAAAACCTGAGAACCAGGAAGCAGCTGCCAGCTGGAAACAGGCCCTGTGGTCCATGATGAGTGGGTACCGTAAAGGGTCACAGATGGCCACATAGCGGTCATATGCCATTGTGGCCAGGAGGCAGCACTCAGCAGCCCCAAAGAAGAAGAAGAAATACATTTGAGTGGCACAGCCTAGAAAAGAGATGGTTGTGTCCTGCATGACCAGGGTCCCCAGCATCTTGGGCACAATGACCAAATTGAAACCTATCTCCAGGAAGGACAAGTTTCTGAGGAAGAAGTACATGGGACTTTTAAGAGCAGAGTCAGCTGTAGTGACCAAGATAATGAGGACATTTCCCATTAAGGTAATCAGGTAAATGGCCAAAAAAAGGAGAAAGAGTAAAGCCTGGAGCTCAGAGGACAGGGTTGAGAAGCTCACAAGAACAAACTCACTGACAATTGTCCAATTTCCCCACATTCTTTGGCCCAAGATTTCATTAAGCATTCAAAGCCCAGGGGAATGGGGGCGGTGTCTGTATATTTTCTAGACTCCTCTCATGTCCTGGTTCCAGGTTTGCAGTGGTCTCAATGTTGGACTACTAGCCCTAAGGCAGTGAGTTGAACGGACCCCCTTTCTATGGGCTCCTGCAAAGATTCTAGCCTCAGACACCTGATGGAGCAGTCTCCCCTGCCCTAGAGGTTCATGATGAGTGGGAATGGGTGAGGGCAGTGGGTTTGGTTGTTTTGTATTATGTCCTTTGAAAGGGAGCATCCCGTGGACTTCTTCTCCACCTTTCTTGTTCTAATTGTTGATGATCGAGCCATTGTGTCCTCCAAAATACAAAAACAAAAAGATGAAACAAAAACAGATCACTGGGTTCACAATCTGAGGGAACAATGCGAAGATTTTTTTTAGACTGAACTGAGACATACCATATCGGGCTAGTCTGACCTTTTTTCTGCTTTATCAAAAATGGACACAACTACAGCTACACATTTGTACACCTATAGCTTCTTTCTCTTCAACAATTAATGGTGCTTATAAAAAAAAGACAACCCAAGAAACAAAAGCAAAACAAAACAGATTCAGGCATTTCTTAATAGAGAGATCTTGAATCATAATTAAAGGTGATTTCTGTCCCTCTGCCCCCCTTG